TCCTAATCCACTTTGCAATTGGATTCTTGCCATTTTCTAGCCCAAGTTTGATTCCTAGAATCACACTTGCCAGGCAGGTGCGCTGCTGAGTTACTTCCCTGGCATCTCAGAGAAGTTTCTTTAGCACTTGGGAAATAACTCAAAGACAAAACACTTATGTTTACAAATGCACATGCAATCAGATTTTTAAACCTGATCTAGACTGCTTGATGTGATGTTTTTAAAAGTCCAATGATTCTGAGGTTTTGTTTTCCCCCAGCACTGGGGACTGAGCCCAGGGCCTTCACACTGAGCTACATCCTCAATCATTTTTTACATTTTGAGATAGGGTGTTGCTGAGTCACTGAATTGCCCAAGATGGGCTTGAACTTGATTCTCCTGCCTCAGCCAGTGCTGAGATTACAGGCCTGCGCCACCAGTGGGCTGACATGCACTGTAAGGGTGCATGAGCTCCTGAAACCTCGATTGTTCTGTGAACTGTCTAGGACGAGAGCATGGGAATCAGGAAAGCACACAAATAACCATTTTAGGAATAGGGTAGGAAAAAGGATGTTTTTTTTTTCTTCTTCTTCTTTGGTACTAGGGATCGAACTTGGGTCCTTGCACTTGTAAGGAAGGCAGCAGAACCACTGAGCTAAATCCCAGGCCCAGGGCATGTTATTTCCCCCAGCTTGAGCTAACCTGTAGCTATGTGTAAAAAGTCTGAGACTGGGTGTCCAAAAAAGAAAAGACCCTTTGACACCAATGACCCTCAGAAAAAAGCCCAAGTGTTGCGCCTCTTTTAGGAAAGAGGACAGGACATGAGATTAAAGCTAACAATCCAGGACCCAAATTAAAACGGGACATAAGGCCAGGGATGTAGCTCAGTGGTACCATGCCTGCCTGGCAAGTATAAGGTCTGGAGTTCAATCCCCGGTACTTGGTGTCTACGTGTGTGTGTGTGTGTGTGTGTGTGTGTGTGTGTGTGTGTGCGCGCGCGTGTGAGATCTAAGACTGAGCTCTTCAAACCACCACTAGAGATCCGTATTTGAAAAGCAACCATTTATTAGAACCAATACAAGAGTATGAAAAGGGGGAAGAGAAGGGTGGAAGAGGGGGAGAGAATGAGGTCTGAATCAGATGTCAGTTGTAGAAACACATAAATGCCTACTTTTAAACATTTACATTTAAAAAGTGAACAAACATACAGATCACTTATCCTTTAAAAAAACAAACAAAAGCAGACATGTTTGGCTGAAATAAAACCAAGAAACATAACCGAAACTCCCCCACAAACCAAAAAGTCTGTAGAGAATTCAATGTCTCGTTTCCATTTAGAAATCTGGCTACAGAGTGTGACTTGTTTTGCCTCAGGATGGTGCAGTGCCAGAAGAAACCCGGCCTCGAGTCTGTCAGGGCCCATCCGGTGGGAAGTGGCGGCAAGGCCAGCAGGCCACAGTGAGTCAACTCCTAGCTACTTGGCAGGATGTCAGACCGTGCTCTCCATCCTCTAGGACTCCACAGAACCATCCAGTACCGCTGGTGCTGAGGAACAGTGGGAGCGCAGTCCACAAAACACAGAGAACTGGAATGTGACCGCTAGTCGCCAGAATCTTGTGCTTTTTCAGGGGTTATGGATCTAGGGCCAAGGAGGGGAAAGAAGAAAGAGCCCTACTGGGAAGAGCAGCAGATTGAGCCCCTCAACTGAGATGGAAATAAGGCTCTTGCGCCCACACCTGGGCAGATAGAAGCAATGTCCAAAGTTTTCTCAAACCAAAGGGCAAAAAGGTCAAGGTCAGGTTCAATCTGTGGACACCAAGAAGAGATGACAGATACTAAATAGAGTGACTCATATAAAGCCTTAAGGATCAATACCCAATTCTGAGTGTTAAGAGTATTTCAGGGAAAAAAAATACTAATGTAGCTCTTTTGGTGGGGAACGAAGAGGTGGTTGTTCATTGAACCACCGGGCTTCTATGAGGGCTTAGAAGCATGAAAGGGTGCAGTAACCTAGCTGCCTGGGAACAGTTTTGATACAAATCAAAACCAAGGGTTGCTTTGCTTCTGAGACAGTCTGAGTTACTGACTCCAAATTGTGGGCAATGGGCTTCCCTGCCCCATGATTCCCTAGCCCAACGCTCTTGGGTTTGAAATAGCCTCTTTTTGTGAATGTAAGACACGGAAAATACTAGTGCCTTCCTCCATAACATCCTAAGTTAAGTCTGCACCACTAAGACTCCAAAATTCACAAAAACACTGTCACCTGAACTAGCAGCTTTGATGAGGGGTGGGAGCAGAGTTTGCCGAAGTCACTAAGTAGTTCCAAACCTGGTGACAACTCAGTGAGTATTAAAACCTGTGTCAGGCTTAAATTTCGGCTCCAGGTGTCCTCCAGAGAGGACCGTAAAGTATTCTTCAACTTTGACTTACAATGCCTCACAACACCCCTGTGAGGTAGGTCAATATTATTACCCCCATTTGACAGATGGGGAACTGAGGCATCGAAGGAATGACTTGCCCAAGGTCAGGCGTTATGATCAGCTGAGGAGGTTGGCACACACAGCAAGCATCCACCCAATTCTGCTGCTTCCCAGAGCATTTTACTTCTCAGAGTAGACTTCAGAGCAAAAGGAAGTTGGCAGGTACACTCTACTCTGCAAACCAGATGAATTCAATCAACCTATAAGGATTAACTGAGGACCTATCACTTCTCTAGCTTACAGTGAAGAACACTGGAAAAACCATCAGCTTCTGAAAACAATGTTAGTGGGTATTATGAAAATAAAATTACATTTTAAACATTAAGCACATGGATTCTTTTGTAAACCAAAATTTTTTTTCACTTCAGAGATAAAGGGCTAAGTCACACCAATTTCTCAAAGTTTTGTACTGAGTAACCCAAATTCCTAAAATAGAGAAGCAAACAAGACCCCTCTTACACAGGAAGTTAAGAACTACTGCCCAGTGGTGGGCTTCGGGAACCCTAGCACTCCACATGCCTTCCTGCTGTGTGACACCCCTCCTTACCCCAGGAGCTGCAGCATCTCCATAAACAGCTCAAGATTACAGACATAAATGGTAATCTCTACAACTAGCCATACAGGCTCTTACAATATTCTTTCCTCCTGCCAGAGGCATAACAAGTTAACACCAGAGGGGGCAAAACAAAAACAAAAAAATACCCAACAGTAACAAACCAAACCCAAAATACCTTCTCCACCCACTTTGGTTTGACTTTGGATTCTGGTAGAAATTGTAATTTGTCCCTTGTCCTAAAACTACAGGGATGAGGAGAGTTCCAAAGCCACAGCCAGCCCTGGTTTAGAATGAAATCCTAAAGCTACTGGAATCTGGAAAACACTGCTTTAAGCCTTAAGAGCACTGAGACACAGTGCTCAATGAGACACTCAGCTGTGCTCGGAGAATTTCTAGGCAAAACACCCCTTCCTCATATCAGCCAGTGTAGCGGGACTCTACGAGCAACAGAAGCTCAAAGAATGACTTATCAACACACAGTACAAGGTTCACCAGGGACATCTTGTTTCAGGACTCATTCCAAGACCTGTAAGCTTTTTCTTTTTTTTTTCACTGATGGGTAATCACACTGGACAAATTCAGGTGACGAGAAAGTTCAAGACTGATTTTTTGCCAATGACACTTCAGGTTGTCTGTTTGGAATTCCTCCCCTCTAAAAAAATCTCCTTAAAAATGTGATGAATTGGCCACTTGGGCTTGGATCAACTGTTAGGGTCATACCTGTCAATGCCAGGGGACATCACACACAAAAAAATAGAGAATGACAAGATAAAAAGTTCATTGCATTCAATTTGGCCTAATTTCTTGATAATAGTTTCCTATTAGATTTTCCGATTAATACTGATGGCTCTTACCTAGGCTGTGATAATTAGGTTTTGATCTATAGTGACATTAATGACCACAATCAGTTGACTTTGAAATTGTCTAAATTAATGGCTCTTTCCTTGTCAGCTTTTGCCTCCAGTGCAGGATCCATTCCCTCCCCCACCACCTTGTTTTAACTCCTTCTTTTACTAACTTAAAGACGACAAATAGTAATAAAGGATCACTTCTTCCCAAAAAAAACAGATTTTAAACTATTTTAAAACATTTCTCGGGCTGGGGATTTAGCTCAGTGGTTCTGGCACCTGCTTCACAAGCACAACGCCCTGAGTTCAACCCCCAGTACCAAAAACAACAACAACAACAACAACATATCTCTGACAGAGAAGCAATGTGAGATGTTAAGGTGAAATGAGGACCGGGACAAAAGGCAAGAGAATGAACTATCAATGAGCAGGAAAAATTTCATCTAGAAAACAACCATAGTCAAGCACAATGTTCAAGGGGCAATGACAGGCAGAAGTAACTCGAGAAAGACAAGATGAGGTAGATTAAAATCCAAGAAATTCAGCACAAGCAAAAAGAAACTAGAATTGTTTTTATGAAGCTATCTAAAGAACTTCATACTTTAACTTCCACAACAGTGGGCTGAATTCTTGGGAATTCTGACTTCCAAAGCTAGCCAACACAATTATCCAGGCAGAACTAAATTCTCTTTTTCTTGCGATCACATGGGTCAAAATAAAGAACACTGTTGAGATCAGATTGCTTTGTTTTTGTGGTATTGGGGAGTAAAACCAGGGAACGCTGAGCTATAACCCCACCTTTTTAATTTTGATACAGGTCTCATTAAATTATCCAGCTGACCATGAACTTACAATCCTCCTGCTTCACAGGTATGTGCTACCATGCCATATAAAATTAGACTATTTTCTTAACGGGGATAGGCTTCACCCTACACTCACCTAGACTTACTAAGTCTGAGTCTCCAGGGTAGGTGTATATCTGGGAAAGGTTTCCATGTAACTGGTACAAGTCCCTGCTGAGAAGATACTTTCTTTTGTGGTATTGGAGACTAAACCCAGAGTCTTCACACCCGGCTATATCCCCAACCCTGTAAAAATTTTATGAGACAAGATCTTGCTGAAGTTGCTTAGGCTGGGCTCAAACTCGCAATCCTCCTACCTTACCCTCCTAGAGGCGTGCTGAGATTACAGGCATGCGCCACTGCACCCAGCGAGACATTACCCTCTTGCAGTGCCGGAATGAAACTGTATTACTCAGAGATAAATACTCAGATATTAACAGATGTGCCAAGCCTTCTTATTAACAAAGCATTTGTTATTAGACTGCAATGATAGGAGAAAAAAATATGGCTCTCTCCAGGTTTAAAATGGGCACCTCCATCCAGGCTGACCTTCCCAGAAGTTGATCTTAATACATCTGCTCAGGATTAGAAGACTTACTAAATTGTCCTTGGAACTCTCTGGGGAAAGCACTGCTAAACTGTGTAGAAAGGGTTATCATTTGTTGCTCATTACTAGAAGAAATTCACCATTAGAAAGATGTTTTAAAAGAGAATTAAGCACAGGAAAAAAATGTGACCACCTGAGACCTAGATGTTTAAAAGTGCTTTGCCCATGGCTACTACCTCTTCAGAGGGGAGAAACTTTGTAAGTTTTGTTTGAGGCTACAAATTTCTAAGGGAAAGGACAGCTACTCAGCACTAACAAATGTAGAGGAACAGGCAGGTGTCCGGTTTCCTTTGTGCTGAGGACCACTCCTATAAAACCAGCTCCCATTAGCTAGGAGAGAACACAGGTTGTTTTGGTGACAATCAGTGAAAAACCAGGATTCCATAAATTGGAAAAAAGGACAGAAAAAGATATAAGCGAAGATTATTAAAGGAGTGATGAGTAGTAGATGATACTGTGGTTATTTGGGTAAGAGAAAATCAGATTTTGATTACTGCCTTGAACATTACCTATAACCACAGTTAACCATATGCTTCTGATTTCTCAAGATCAATCTTAGTATCAAATATTGCTATTTACTTCATCCACACACTAGGTGTTTGGTTTTAAACACATGGTCACTACAGTTTATATGGCCACTACTACTGGAATACACAAGCTACTGGGACTATCATTTTCTCCAGCTGCAAACTAAGAGGCTCACATCACCTCCTCAGGAGCCCTGGCTTACTTTCCTATTCTAGTCTGCCCTATTGATATCCTTGGTTACTCATATGATAAATTTGTTTTCTGACCATTCTTCTTTGTGGTGTCCACCAGAGTAAATATAAACAACTGTCAATTATCCAGCACTTGATCTAGTCTTTAATTCCCACAGAGAACAAAGGAATATGGAGATAAAACTCCCACACATACGAGGTATGGGTTATGAGCTCTCACCCGATCACATTACCATTCTGAAGGATTTTCTTTGGGCTGACTTAAACCAAAAGCTTTATTGTTCCAGTCTGTCATGTCACTGCAGCAACAGCTGTCTCTTCAACTGTGCAGTATAATTTTTGACATAATTTATAAAAGCTCACAGAATTCAATCAGCAGCTGAGCAGGAAGTGATTTTAACAAACACTACAGATGAGTACATGATTTGCATATTATTTGGCTCATCTGTGGACTGGATCAATCCATCCATGGCCCTCATTACTACGAATAACCTAGAAATGGTTGAATGCTTCTGGCCAAACAGCTGTATGTTTTAAAACTCAAAAGCAAAAACAAAACAAAAAAAAACACCTCAGTGGCTGGTGAATTCCAGAATTAAGGCTGCTTCAAGCATTTTTCTCATTCCCTCAGCACTGGGACTGAGACAAAGATGCCCAAAACCCTGCCGTTTCCTTCCTTTCAGTCCTGATTCAGGAGATCCCTCAACTACAAAAAAGGATGAAGAGAAGCAAGGAATTTCTTAGGGAACAAAGATGGAGAAGGATATGACTGAAAAAAAAAATCAATACAATAGCAAAGCAGAGGAAATCAAAAGGGAAAGATTTTTAAGTAGATTTTTTAAGTAGCAAAAAGTTGTATCGACATGCTAATGCCAGGACCTGCCACTTTCTCAGGTGATGATCTTCCATGGAAATTCATTTTTCAAATATAAGATACAACTAAAATTTCAAGAGTGGAAAAAGGGAAGGGGACTCCTGGTGGCAAATCCAAGAGTAAAGCAAGCAGAAAACTTATAACTGCTATGAGTATTTAAAAGTGACACCGTGGCCAATGGCTCCCCTCCAAGAATTCCCCATTGAAAATAATGATATAGAAGGGAAACTTGGATCCACTGAGAAGTAAGATCAGGTTTGAAGCCTCTTTGGTAACAAAGAATGCTTTGGGAGGCCACAAAACTTGGCAGGGTTGGAGGGTGCCTAGCACCTTGGCACAAGCAAGCACCAGGCAATCACATCTACATAAATATATAATCTAAATATGAGAGACAGAAGGAGAGAATACATACATTCTATATGTGAAATGAAAACAACTGTATCTGCCCCTACCCCATCATCCTGTACTATAGCTTGGGCTCTCCACAGTTAATAATCTTGTCATTTCATGACAAACTGACACCATCTTACAGAAGCATAATCAGTGATTGCTAAGAACAAGGCCAAAAAGTCCTGGGCTAAAAGGAGTGCCCTGACAAATTTTAATGTAAAATTTCAAGTCCTCAAAAGGACAGAGTTATTCTGGGAAATTGGGTGAAGATGAACAACAGAAGGTGGACAAAAAGACCACACCAGGACCCTGTACTCTCCTGGGGAGAGGTGAACAAGGTGGGGAAAGCCCAACATGTAGACAGTTGCAACTGACTTTTTAAAAGATGGGTAACATCCTTTCCAATCCAACATGTTAAAAACAAAGGCCAGTTAGTCATCAACATGTTCTAAGAAACAAAGCAAGAAACCAAAATTCACCATCTTTGCTACAACATCCCCCAATCTAAAAGCAACTGATCCCGAAAGATCAAGACTCTAAGGTGATTAAAAATTAAAACTTATCTTTAGGTCATAGGGGAGCAGAAGGAAGAGATTAGGGCAAAGGAAAACTCTGTAGGAATTACATACAGTATATAAATGCCTGGTCTTCACAGAGAGACACTTATCATGAATCAGACCATCAGTTATGTTACAAGAGAACCAATACCAATATTTCTCCTGTGGAGCACAGTGATAAGCACATTTTTATGGATGTGTTTAGGATGGAGGGTAGAAGGGAGAGGAGGCAGAGAGGTGAATGTATTATGTACAAAGAGAAATGACAGAGACCCCCCCCCTTTAGCTCTTTGCAGTTTCTTTCTCTTTGTTTTCCGCATCCTCAGGATATGCATGCCACGTCAGTCTCTCTTCATAAAATGCTATCACAATTTGTGGACATTTCACATTAGCTTCTTTTGCAAGAACCAGGTCGGCCTCATCTGTGTCTTTCCTGGAGAGAAAAAATATGACACTTAAAAGGGAAAGAAATAGGGCCGGGGATTTAGCTCAGTGGTTCCACTGCCTGCCTTGCAAGTGTAAGGTCCTGAGTTTGATCCCTGGTACCAAAAAAAAAAAAAAAAGTGGTGTGGGGGGGAAATAAGAGTGAAAAAAATTGGGGGCTGGGGATTTAGAAAAGTGGCACCGCTCCTGCTTCACAAGCACAAGGTCCTACGTTCGACCCCCAGTACCAAAAGAAAATAATGTCTAAATATAGGTTTGTATCATTATATTAGTTGACTTGATTTCCTCACCTTGATTTCAAAATGAAAAGAACTCTAATGGAGACTGGAGGTAGTTGCACACACGTGTAACCCGAGCACTTGGGAGGACTGCTGTGAGTTCGAGGCCAGCCTAAACTACATACTGAGTTCAAAACCAGCAAGATCTGTCTCAAAAAAAGCAAAAAACTGGCTGGGCGTGGTGGCTCACGCCTGTAATCCCAGCACTTGAGAGGCTGAGGCAGGAGGACCGCTATGAGTTCTAGACCAGCCTGGACTACATAGTGAGTTCCAGGTCAGTCTCAACTACATAGTGAGACCCTGTTTCAAAAACCAAACCAAAACAAAACAAAAAAACCTAATGGGGCTGGGGGTATAACTCAGTGGTAATACACATGCTTAAAATGTGTGAGGCCCTAGAGGCCCTAGATTAGATTCTAACCTCCCCACCACCCCACCAGAAAAAAGAAAAGCCAGAAGTGTATAATGTCAGCACTCTGGAAGGCTAAGGCAGGAAGATTCCAAGATGGAGCCCAACCTGGGCAACTTAATAAAACTGGGTCTCAAATCTGAAAGAAAGAGAGAGAGGAGAGAGGGAAAGAGGGAGAGAAGAAGGAAAAGGGAGAGAAGAAGGAGGGAGTTTGTTTGTATGAGTGTGTGAGTGAACACAAATGTACACTCAATTGTATTGAGTATGTAGATACTGACATGTATAAGTTTCTGGATCTTCTAAGTGATGGCCTCTTACTTCTTTATTTATTGCAGTACTAGGAATTGAACCCAGAACCTTTGCACTGAGCTATATCCCCACCTTTTTTGTCTTGCCAATATCCCGCCCCCAACACCAGGGATTAAACTCAGGATCTTGCACTTCCTAGGCAGGTGGTAGAACCACTGAGCTAAAGCCCTGGCCCTCCCCACCCTTTTTGTATCTTTATTTATTTTTTATACTGGGGATTGAACTCAGGACCTTGCAATTGCGAGGCTGGAGGTGGAACCACTGAGCTAACTCCCTGGCCCCCCTTTTTGTAGTATTAAATTTTGAGACAGGGTCTTTCAAAGTCACTTAAATTGCCAAGATGGGGGCTCAAACTCATCACCCTCCTGCCTCAACCACCCCCAGAGTGCTGGAATTACAGTCATGCACCACCAGGCCCACTTCTTATGGCCTTTTAAATATTCATTACCCCTTTGGTCACAACTGTGAATGAGAACAATGAAACAAACTTAAGCCAGGTTTGGTGGTGCATGCCTGTAATCCCTGCACTGTGAGAGGCTGAGGTAGGAGGACCACAAATTCAAGACCAACCTGGGCAAATTAGCAAGACTGTCTTAAAAATAAAAGGACTGAGGATCTAGATTAGTGCAAAGGGCCACCCCACAAACACACACACACACACACACACACACACACACACACACACACACACGGCTGGGATGTGGTGAAGCACTCCTGTAACCCCAGCACTCTGGGAGACAGGTAGGAGGAATGCTGCAAGTCTGAGGATTGGTTAAGGATCTCTGATATTCAAAATCTCTTAGTTTGGGAATTGTTAAGTTTTGCCACCTATATTCCATATAAATTCAAGCCACTGACAAAGAAACAATTGAAAAGTACAGACAAATCTTCTCACCATTTCATCAGGAACATTAAATCACCACAGGAATCTGTTGCTCCAATAATCTTTTCTGGTTCCAGCCCTCTCTCAAAGCCCCGAGCAATATCGTTGCTCTGCTATAAATAGAAGACAAAGGTTACAATTTGGAGAAAACAATCTGTTTTAGCTCAACAAAGCACCACCTGCACTAATATCATTCCATTACTGTCACCAATTCAGAAAATTCTTAGAACTCAAGAAATACTAACCAGGTGTCATAGCACTACTGAGAGTATGCTTGTGATCCCAGCACTCTGGAAGGCTGAAGAAGGAGGTATGCAAGTTTGTGCATAGCATAGGCTACCTAGTAAGACCTTGTCTCAAAATAAAAGATAAAAAGGGATGGGGATGTAGCCAGTACAAAAAAATAAAGGGAGAAAAGGAAGGAAAGGAAAGGAAAGGAAAAGAAAGGTCAGATAGGTAATAGTATGTTAGCCAGTGACAGTGATGCTAAGAGGTTTTTTTGAGATAAGGTCTCATTATGTAGTTCAGGCTGGCCTTGAACTTGTGGTGATCCTCCTACCTTAGCCTCCGGATTGCTAGGATTATAGGTGTGAGCCACTGTGCCTGGCCCCAAAAGATGTTTTTGCAAGAAGATACAGTTGACATTTCTGGTATTCCCTTCAACAGATTAAGAGTGATGCCTAACCAAAAAAAAAAGGGGGGGTGTGAGGCCGGGCATAGTGGTGCACACCTGTAATCCCAGCACTTGGGAGGCTGAGGCAGGAGGATTGCTGTGAGTTCGAGACCAGCCTGGGCTACATAGTGAGTTCTAGGTCAGTCTCAACTACATAGTGAGACCCTGTCTCAAAAAACCAAAAAGAGTGATGCCTAAAAGTCTTTAATATCCCAAGAGATATTCTAGAATCATCTAGGAATTCCTCTAATCTACTCACTCTGAATCTCCTTAATATTCTAAATTGACTACCCCTGTGCTGCAGCATCTACGATGATAAACACATCCAAAATTACTCCAACAAAACTTTTCATTTTATAAACTTCAAATACACTACCTCTCTCAAACTTTATTTTTTTAGACTTTGAATTTGCCTTAACACAGACGAATAATTTTAATTCTTTTCATAGTCATCTATATTATGAAAGAAAAGGCAAGGGTGATGCAAGGCCAATACTGTAAGATGGCAAATTTCAAAGATCAAAAATATCAATACCTATATACATACTTGGCTGGAGGAGAAACTGTAGTCTGCCTATCCCTTCTCAATATGGATGAGGTGTTAACATCAGAAGGCAGAACTGAACTGAACTAACCAGCTGATAACTCATGAGAAGACTGTTCAAACTTGCTCTGAATGCAATCAATGCAATCTACAGGGAACACAAGGTCTGATCCAGGTGCAATGACACTGGTAAGAGCAAAAAAGTAAATTTTTATGCAAACCTAACAATTTAAAAATAAAATTAATGGAGGATAATACTATTTTACCTAGTAAGAGCGCAGAAAAAAATTTAGGATAACTACTCAAATGAACAAACTCTCTGGTATCTGATTATCATAAGATCTCTTTGTTGTTGTTGTTCTTTTTTTTTGGTACCAGGGATCGAACCTGGGCCCTTGCATTTACAAGGCAGACAGCAGGACCACTGAGCCAAATCCCTGGTCCTCGTAAGATCTCTTTGATCTGTGATTTACCTTACTTTCCTCTGAGAGATGCAAAAGTATGGAGGGTCCAGGTTGCACCCAAATATAGGAAGGAAATTCCATGCATGGATCAAGGGGAGATACTGACTTATAAAAAACAGCCTCTTTGGGGGCCCTTAAAGAGAAAAGGTTCCCAGATGTGCACACAGCTGCTCACAGCTGGAATGCTGGCGCATAGACTAAGTAGTAAATCATGGCTGGCAGCTGAAAACAGTTTGCCACATAGGGAGGGAAGGAGGGGGGAATGGAAGAAAAATGTCAAGCTGTTGAAAAGGAGCCGAGGCGAGGAAAATGCTAAAATCATCACACAAGGCAGTAATCTTAAATCAGGCACAATGCCGACTAACAAATTTCTTCTGCGGTGGTCTAAAGAAAGAAACACAATCCCCTCCTGTACCTTTAAAACATACAGTCACCTATCTTCCCAGCTGCCTACCTGACAGCCACCAGTACTGCTGAGAATGCTATCAGGGGCCCTAGATGAACAGTGTGATATAAGGGACACGTGGGAGTTTTTTCAAGGTCAGCATCTTCAGAACCTGGCCTAGGAATGAAACTCTCTATACTGACCAATGGCATTAAGCCAGGTAATTCAGAATGCTCCCTTTTGAAAAACAGAAATGCTAGGTTAGAGATATACATACTATCTGTCATAAATGCCTAGTTAGAAATCTTATGCTGTGTTGGCTTTGCTTTTAGCTACAAAATGAATCAAATGACAAAAGCCTGAACACAAAAGACTAATAAAAAATAAAAAAGGTGTGGGAGGATCATGTCCTAGCTCCTTAGAAAGCTTTCTCAAACCCTTTATCAGTACAATGCATCATAGCGATACAGACTTCACCAGAACAGGACAGTTTTTAAATAAGGTTGTAAACAAAAACAGAATTAATCAAGGAAAGAAGGAGACAGGCACGAATTGAGGGTCCACTTTCTCTTCTATCCTCCACAGTCATTTCAGTTCATTTTGTTAAGCTGGTTTCCCATTTCTTTCTCTCTCTTTTTTTTTTTTTTGGTAGCAGGGATCAATTCCCATTTCTTTCTCTATAGAAACCAGGAGTCACCTGTGTAAGTCTTTTTTTTTTTTTTTTGTACCGGGGCTTGAACTCAGGTCCTTGCACTTACAAGGCAGGCGGCGAAACCCCCCTGAGCTAAATCTCCAGCCCAACTGTGTATGCCTTTATAAAAACCCGATGCCTGGGTCCAGCCTACAGAAATTTCTACTTAACTGGTCACAGGGACATCTGGGGTACTGGAGATTGTTTAAAGGAACGCCCCATGATTCTAATGTGCTGCCACAATTGAGAATTAATTCTTGAGCAAGATAACTATCCAAGTAGAATGAAGACAAATGGTTCCTGTGGCAGTGATGCTAGAGATACACTTTTATTTTATTAAGCTTTAAGTGTTCACCATGAAAGTCTTCCTAACCTTGAAATAAATGGAGTGAAAGCCAGGAGCAAAGAGAGACAGTGTGTGTGTTTATGCACACAGATAGAAAATAGATGAGAAAGAGAGGTAATAATAGTACCTATACTAGTTACTTCAGAGCGAAGATGAAAAGGATTAAAACAACTGAATCAGACCAAAACTTCACAAATATACTTGAAGACTATATAATAAAAAGATTCAAAAGGAAAATGAAAATTACTTTCTTATTTGGAGTATGTGGACATAAAAGCAAGAGACAATATAAATATTACTGAACTGCACACTTTAAAATGGTTAATTTTAGGGCCAGGGATTTAGCTCAGTGGAACAGCACCTGCCTGGCAAATGTGAGGTGCTGAGTTCAATCCCAGGTACAAAAAAAAAAAAAGTTAAATTTAGCTGGGTATGGTGGTGCATACCTATAATCCCAGCACTCACTAGGAGGATCCCTGTGAGTTCAAGGCCAGCCTGGGATATGCAGAGAGACTTTATCTCAAAAAGTAATAAAATAAAATAAAGGTTAATTTTAACCAGGCATAGTAGAGGATGTCTGTAATCTCAGCATTCTGGAAGGTTGAGTCAGGAAGATCACAAGTTCAAGTTCACTGTGGACAACTAAATGAGACCTTGTCCCAAAAAAATAAAGCAAAATGAACTTTTTTAAATGAAAAAAAAATTAAAAATCAGCCAGGTGTGGTGGTACATGCCTCTAATCCCAGCATTCTGGAGGCTGAGGTAGGACTGATGCCAGTTCAAGGCCAGCCTGAGCTACACAGTGAATTGAAGATCAGGCTGGATGGGACAGTGAGACCCTATCCTAAAAAAAAAAAAAAAAAAAAAAAAAAAAAAAATCAACCAAGGAGTAGCTCAGCTTGAAGCCCCTGTACCTCAAAAAACAAACAAAAATAATGCTGGTTATCGTGGTGCACACTGTAATCCCAGCACTCAGGAGGCTGAGGCAGGACTGCCATGAGTTCAAGGCTAGCCAGGGCTACACAGTAAGACTGTCTCAATAAACCAAACAAACAAAATTTAAATTTACATTTGAATTTTACCTTAACTAAAAATACATACATACATACATGAACCAAATTAAACCTCTCCTCCTTTAAAAAAACATACATAAAAGATGGAACAAATAAAAAAGAAGTGGTGAAGATTTCAAAACTTATTTCCTGCTGGGCAGAGTGGCATATACTTGTAATCTCAGCACTCAGGAGACTGAAGAAGGAGTATCACTGTGAGTTCAAGGTCAGCTTGGGCTACATAATTCTCACTTTTTTTTTTGTACTGGGCATTGAACTCAGGACCTTGCTTGGGCTACATAGTTCAAGGTTAGCCTGAATTACATAGTGAAACCCCATCTCAAAAAACAAAATAAAACTAATTTCCATCCTTAAAAAAAAAAAAATCATCAAAGGGCTGGGGATTTAGCCCAGTGGTGCTGCCGGCTGCCTCATAAGGGCAAAGTCCTGAATTCAATCCCTGGTACAAAAAATCACCAAAGATAATCCCTCAATAAAACAACTATTTACAGGGATTGGGGATTTAGCTCAGTGGTGCTGCTGCCTGCCTCAAAAGCGCAAGGACCAGAGTTCGATCCCTGGCACCAAAAAAAAAAAAAAAAAAAAAACCAAAACAAAACACACATAAAGATTTGTACATGATAATTTATAGGAACATTTCAATAGGCAAAACCAGAAAACAAATTCAAGCATCCATCAACCTGTGAATGAATGAAAAAACAAAATTTATATTATGGTGGACCCTCAAGTTATGACCCAATGCGACCCGCCTGCCTTACGAACAACTTGGGTTACAACCAGACTTTTTGTTTTAACTTAAGAACAAAGTCTTGAGTTACACCAGAAGTCCGGCCGCTTATGCTTCCCAATAGTCAAAGATACAGATTTAACTCTTAAAAGAGTTCTGGAAGGAACATTACAACATCCTTTCCTGTGTGGAGTTAACTGAGAAATCCTGGGCCAATTTCTCTCTAAGGACACTGAGAACCACCTGTACACAGGAGAGAGACTTTGAAGGAATCCTAAGCCTTCAATTGACTGACTTGAGTTACAACCAACCCTCATGAATGAAGTGAACTCCTAAGTCGAGGGTCCACTGTATTTATGGAGAAGGCAGAGTGGTTTAATGTTTTACAGATTTTCTAAAAAATGTTTTACAGATTTAATTTTGCCATTTTAATACAAATTCAAATACCACAAATTACACTTCTCACTTAACCAGAGGGGGCGCCTCCATGTGCCTCCTTGGAAGGTCCTCTGTCAGGTAACTCACTTACCTCTAGGTCCATCCTTAGGAGAGAACTAAGATATGCCCTTCTGTGGGTGGGAGGTGGCAAATGAACAGCTTATAGGGAAAAGGGAAGGAAGCTTACCTCTCTCTTTTTTTTTGACTTGATATCATCAGCACTGTTCGAGAAATTGGATTTCCTCTTATTACTTTCTGACTTCTCCCTGGGTTTGTTATTTTCACCCTCCTTCATCTTCTTATACTTTTTCATAAACTCAGAAATTAGTTCAGGGCAATCCAAGTTTTTCTCTGGTTCCCAAGTATTATGCTCCCTGAGCAAGAAGAAGAAAGAAAAAGGTAAACAATGAGAGGGGGAAAAATCGATCATCTTTTTCTTTTGGTACTGGGAATTGCACTCAGGACCTTGCACTTGCCAGGCATGCATGACACCACTGAGCTACACCCTGGCTCCTCCAATGTCTTATTTTAAATAGTACATGAAAACCGGGCATGGTGGCGCAGATCTGTAGAAGGAAGGAGGCTGAGGTAGGAAGATTTCTGGAAGTTCGAGGCCAGCCTGGGCTACATAAGAGTTCAAGGCCAGCCTGAACTGCATAGCGAAACCTGTCTAAAGCTGCCTATAGCTGTCTGCCTTGCAAGCCCAACGTCCTGAATTTGATACCTAATACAAAAAAAACACAACATATGTAGACAAAAATGGAGAGAAACCCTACATATAAAGGATATAAGGAGATGGAGATAGACAGTGTGACAGAGTACCTGCCTGGCATGTATAAGAACCTGGATTTGATCCCCAGTGCAGCAATCAAAACAATCAATAAATTAAAGCTGTAACAAATTTCATCTTAAACTTCTACTGAAGAGAAATGAAAAAACATCTACATAAACATTTGTACGCAATAATTTACAGGAACATTTCAATAGGCAAAACCAGAAAACAAATTCAAGCGGCCACCAACCTGTGAATGAATAAAAAAACAATATATGGTACAGCCATACAATGGGAATACTATTCAAGCACAGAAAAGGAACAAAATACTAAAAACAGTACAATTTGAAAGAACCTCAGAAACATTATACTAAGTGAATGAAAGCAGAAGGGACTACATACTGTTTGATTCCATTTATGTAAAATGCCTAGGCAAAACAAACTTTATGGCTTTTTTCTTTCGGTACCATGGATCAAACTGATAACTTGCACTTGTGAGGCCAGTGCGGTGCCACTGAGCTATATCCCCAGCCCCAAGACAAACTTTAGACACACAGCAGATTAGTGGTCATGTGAAGCTGAAGGAGACCAAAGCTGAAAGTAAACTGGGCTTAACCACAGCTTTAGTGGAATGGGTATGGGGGTGTGTGTGTATACAAATTTTCTGAATATGAAGTATGGTGATAGTTGTACAACTCTGTAAATGTATAAAAAATCATGGAAATACACAATTTCAGTGGGTGAATTTTATTTTTTGGTTTTTTTTTTAGATGGTCTCACTATGTAGTTGAGACTGATCTGGAACTTACTGTGTAGCCCAGGCTGGTCTCAACTCACAGCGATCCTCCTGCCTCAGCCTCCCAAGTGCTGGGATTACAGGTGTGCACCACCCCGTCCAGCTATAGTATATACTTTAATAAAGCTTTTTTTATTTTTAAACTGCAGATCAAACTCAGGACTTTGTGCTTGCAAAGCAGGCATGTTGCCACTGAGCTAAATAGACGGATCTGACTTACTGTGTAGCCCAGGCTGGTCTCAACTCACAGCGATCCTCCTGCCTCAGCCTCCCAAGTGCTGGGATTACAGGTGTGCACCACCCCGTCCAGCTATAGTATATACTTTAATAAAGCTTTTTTTATTTTTAAACTGCAGATCAAACTCAGGACTTTGTGCTTGCAAAGCAGGCATGTTGCCACTGAGCTAAATCCCCAATAAAGCTATTTTAATAACCAACTTTGGTTGTGTGGTAGAGTATACCTCTAACCCCAGCACTGAGGAGGCTAAGGTAGGTGGATCATCACGAGTTCAAGCCAGCCTGGGCTACATAGTGAGTTGAGGGCCACCCTGAACTACATAGCAATACTGGAGAGAAAGAGAGAGAGAGAGAGAAAGAGAGAGGGGCAGAGACAGAGAGAAAGTACTTTTCCTTTTCCCTATCTCTATGAAAAAAAATTACCCAGTAACTTTCCCCCAAACCCATAGATCAGAACAAATTATGGCGTCAAAATCAAGAGGACTTGTCATGGTTGTATACACCTGTAATTCAAGTACTTGGGAAGCTGACAGCTGAGGATCTCTAGTTTGAGGCTCACCTAGACTACATACACAAGGGGACTCTGTCTCAAAAAATGATCAAGAGGGCCGAGTTTTTAGCTCAGTGGTTCCATCCACCACCTGCCTGGCAAGCGCAAGGTCCTGAGTTCGATCTCTGGTACCACCCCCAAACTCTAGTACCCCCACAAAAACAACAACAATAGCAGAAAAACGATCAAGAGGAGGATGGACACTAACATAAGAAGTAGATCTGAGGATGGGATACAGTCTGCTGATTATAAGAAAGTCAGTCCTATGATAGAATTAATCTTTTTCTCCCATGTTGGTACTGCTGTCTCAACTTCAACCAATTTTTACTCCATGAACAGCATGACATAATTTAAAAAGAGCCTGGGTTTTGGGGATCAAAGAAATCTGACACTGGATCTTGTTCTACAGCCTGTAAGTTACGCAAAAAAAAATTTTTTTGTACCAGGGATCAAACTCAGGACCTTGTGCTTTCGAGGCAGGCAAGGTGTAAGTTATGCAATCTTTAGGAAATAGCTTTACTAATTTCCTCTGGAAACTGAAAGTATTTTTAGAGGCTTTTATGAGGATTACAGAGAACATGAGGTAGAATATGATCACGGCCTAGCACATATAGTAGCTCCCTCTTACCCATGCTTTCACATTCTGTGATCAGTTGCAGTGCAGAAGTATTAACTGGAAAACTTCAGAAATAAGCAATTCATTTTACATAGCACACTGTTCTGAGTAATGAGATAAAAATCTTACACTTACTCTGTTCTGTCTAGAATGTGAATCATCTTTTTGTCCGGAATATCCGCACACTACGAACCATTTAGTCACTTAGTAGTTGTCTGTTAACACATTGAAGGGCATGGGGACCACAGTGGTGCGTTCCAGTAACACTTTCACACTATAACATGATGCCTACATCATTCACCTTACTTCATCTGACAGGACAGGCACTGCATCATCTCCTATCACCAAAAGGGTGAGTAGAATATAAAAGACATTTTAAAAGCAAGACCACATTCACATAACTTATATAGTATATTGTTATAATTGTTCTTTTTTGAGCTGGGCATGGTGGTGCAGGTCTGTAATATCCACACTTGGGAGGACTCAGGCAAAGGATCTTAAGTTCAAGCACAGCCAGCAGTACACACCAAAAGTGTCTCAGAATCTAAAAAGAGGTTCTGTTTATCATTTGTTACTGTTTTTATTTTGCTACTGGTTTTTCCCCCCTTATTCATTTCTTTTGCAGTACTAGAAATTGAACCCAGATGCTTCACACTGAGCTATATCCCCAGTCCTTTTTTCATTTTTTATCTTGAGACAAGATCTTGCTAAATTGCCCAGGTAGAACCCTGGCCTCGGCCTCCCAGTGCTGAGATTATAGACATGAACCATCATGCCTGGCTGGGTTCAATGCTATGTATGGTTTCTGGTGTCCACTGAGGGCATCCATCAAACTTAGGTACTTTGATACAGACGATGCTAGGTAGGTAGGGTTCAGCAGCTAAATTTATTAGTCTTTTATGAAATCCTAGGTATTTATAACAATGACAAATGATTTAACTGTATCTCAGATTTTATCATTTTTCTTTTCTCCCTATAGTACTGAGGATTGAACCCAAAACTTTCACACTGAGCTACATTTCCAGCCTTTTTTTTTTTGAGACAGGGTCTAGTTGAGACTGACCTCGAACTCACTACGTAGCCCAGGCTGGTCTCGAACTCACAGCAATCCTCCTGCCTCAGCCTCCCAAGTGCTGGGATTACAGGCATGCGCCACTACACCTGGCTATTTTTTTCTTCTGTGACAGGGTCTTGTTAAGTCACTTAATTGGCCAGGCTGCTTGAAATTTCAATCCTCCTGCCTTAGCCTCCCAGAGTGCTGGGATTACTGGTGTGTGCCACCACACCCAGCTGTCTTTCCCTTTTTTATCTATAGTAAGGTGCCAATAGCTGAAAAACAGATAGTCTTAAAGACCCTTTAAACACAGGAGTATTTCTAGTGGTGACTCCATAGACCCAATGCCCTCAAAATCTGTGGATACTATTTTAATTCCTATCTCATGGAATTCTTGGGTCTCTCTAACTCAATGGTTCTCTTATCTAGTAAAAGCTGTGTGTGACACTACTCTTAAATGATACAGAGAGCAGCCAGGAGTGGTGGCACTTGCCTATAATCTCAGCATTTGGGAGGCTGAGGCAGGAGGATAACTTGGAGTTTAAGGCCAACCTAGGCCACATAGTGAGTTCAAGGACAGTCTGAACTAAATACTAAGACCATGTCTCAAAAACAAAACAAAAAAATATAGAAGGTATTTTCTGATATTGTACTACCCACATTTAGTACTATAGGTGCTAGAAATGCTGAATACCTACAATAAATAAACCATCTCCTCTGAAATGCTCAGAGTACTCTCCTGACTTTACCCAAAATAATGGCAAAACATTTAAATTTTTATGCTAGGCACATGCCTATCATCTCAGTACTTGGGAGGCTGAGGCAGGAGGATCATATGAGTTCCATGCCAGCCTGGGCTACATAGTGAGTTTAAGCCTGAACTATATAATGAGACTCTGACACACACACACACACACACACACACACACACACACACACACACACAAAACACAAAAATTTAAATTTTTCAGTATATTTAGGTCTAACATTTTATTTATTTTTTGTGGTTCTGAGTATTAAACTCAAGGCCTCAAACATATTAGGCCAAACATTCTAACATTCTAACATCTCCAGCGCAGGCTGTACACTTTAAAAGATGTGATATCCTGCCAGGCATGGTGGCACACACCTGTAATCCTAGAATTTGGAAGGCTAAGGCAAGAGGATCATTGTGAGTTCAAGGCCAGCCTGGACTACAAAGTTAGACCCTAATTAAAAAACACAAAAACAAAAAATAAATGCATAAATTAAGCCCAGCATAGTGGTACATGCCTGTAATCCCAGCACTCAGGAGGCTAAGGCAGGAGGATTGCCTGAGTTTGAGGCCAGCCTAGGCTACATAGTAAGGCCAGCCTGAGTTAGAGACCCAGAAAGAAAGAGAAAGAGCAAGGGTAAAAGGGAAAGGGAAGAAGGGAGGGAGAATGCCCAATAGTACACATCTGTAACCCCACATTTGGAACACTGAGGCAGGCTGATCTAAGGCCCTGGGTTCAATATTCACTACTGCCAAAAAAAGAAAAAGAGGGTCATCCATGACAGTGCATGCCTGTAATCCCAGCACACTGACAGCTAAGACATGAGAATCACCATGAGTTTGAGGCCAGCCTGGGGTACACAATGAGCTCAAGGCCAGCCTGAACCACATGGTGAGACCTTGTTTAAAAAAAGAGAGAGAGAGAGAACTACAAGCAGCAATAATAGCAAACAAACAAAAAACCCAGGTGCTCACCACTAATTTTTTTCACTTTTTATAGTGATCCTGGTGATGGAACCTAGGAATCACTGAGCTACAACAATCTCAGCCCTAATTATTTTTTAAATTTTGTGACTGGTCTTGTTAAGTTGTCCAGGCTGACCTTAAAAATTCCAATATCCAATTTTGGAGAACCATGGATTATAGAATTGACCATTCTGACCTTTGTTTTGTACTGGGCACTAAACTCAAGGCCTTCACAATGAGCTATGTTCCTAACCCCCCAACATTTTTTTTGAGATAGGGTCTCACTACGTAGTCCAGGCTGGCTTCAAACTCATAGAGATCCTCGTACATCAGCCTTCCAAGTGCTGGGATTATAGGTGTGTACTACCAATCCTGGCTTCCAACGCTTTCTTAAAAATTATTTTGAGTGCCGGGTTTGATGGCTCAGTGAGTAGTCCCCTAAAAATTATTTTGAGTGCCGGGTTTGGTGGCTCAGTGAGTAGTCCCTGAGGCAGGAGGATTATAGTGAGTTCAAGGCCAGCCTGAACTACACAGCAGGACCTTGTCTTAAAAAAACCAAAACAGGGACTGGGGATTTGGCTCAGTGATTCCGCCGTCTGACTCGAAAACCCAAGGGTCCAAGTTCGATTCCCAGTACAAAAAACCCCAAAAACCAAAAACCCTACTTATTTGTAGAGAGAAGATTAAAAATATATATATTTTGAGATAAGGTCTCACTAAATCACTAAATTGCTCAGGCTAGACTTGAACTCATGCTTCTCCTGTCTCAGCCTCCCAAGTACTGGCATTGCAAGTGTGCAGCACTATGCTCTGCTCCTTACTTAAATGTATACATTTTATCTAAATTGTATCTAAGAGTATTAGCAAGAGTTTATATTTATGCTGTGCTGTGTCAGGCTCTGTACATCTACCCAACAACTTTGTTTAAATACTATTTATCTGGGGCCAGGGATTTAGCTTAGGGGTTTGGTGGCCTGCCTTGCAAGTGCAAGGACTGAGTTCAATCCCTGGTACCAAAAAAAGAAAGAAACAAACAAAAACAAAAAATAAATACTATTTATCTGTATTTTATTGAGAAAGATGTGAAGGAGACTAGCCAAGCTCATCCAGCTCGTACTATAAGCGGTAGGGCAGTAACCTGGACCGAGGCACTCTGGCTCCCAATGTTGTGCACCTAACCACATCATTACAGTGCCTCTCAAATGCCAAGCCACTAGAAAGGACCTGTGTAGTTTGTTGAAGAGGGGAGAAAAGACAAAGATGGGTGGCTCACGAGTAAGTAAACTAAACATTTCTATCTTCATAGTCTTCAGGCCTGAAAAAAGCACTTACTCAGAAAAGCCTTTCCACTTTAGCAGATACTCCACTTGCCCCTTCACCACACGCCTGTCTAACACTTTCTCCACGACATACTCCTCCTCATCCTCTGAAGAAGAACTGTCAGCTGTCCTCTTGGTTTTCTTTCCCATGTCGCACACTTTCCACCTGAAGGACTAAGGCCACCGGGTTCCTGCAAAGGCGAAGGACAAAATGGTCACAATCCAAGTCAGGATTAAAGTCTGTCTTTTTTGATGCAGTGGAGGAGGGTACAACACAAAGTTGCCAGATGCCCTTTTCCTGCCTCTCTAATCCTTGTAGAGACAATCCCCATGAATTTAATTTTAAAAAATTAGTCAATCCTCACTTCTCCAGCTACAATTTTCTTTACATTTAAAGAGACCAAAACTACTAGATGGCACAGCTGTGGAATTCCTCTATTTTCATATTCCAAAAGATAAATACTATAGTATATGTCCTGGCTACTTGTGTTTGTAAACCAGAAACTCAGACAGAAATGCGGTAAACCTCTACGAAAATTTACAAAGGCAGAAGGAAAACTTTTCCCTCCGATGTGAAGGAGGTTTTATAAAAAGAAAAAAGAAAAGTCACCAAAATGTAACTTTACTCTGAGCCGTGACTCATCTCTTCACAGGGTCAAAAAAAAAAATCCTGCTAAGGGATCTTTCTCCACATTTTCAGTGACTCGGTACATTTCCCTCACACAAACTGAGTTTGTCCCCTTTACAGCATCCATCAGCTCACAAAAGTAAAACTGACACCTCAAACACACTGAGTCTCCTTTTAGCAAGTTCATTTGAGGATGGGAGGGAAGCAAGGGAGGAAAAAGAAATTTTAGTCCTGAAATTCAAAATCAATCACTGGATTATTCAGTTATTCCCAGGGTTCAACTAACTCAAATAGTTAAGGAGGTGCCTATTCTCTTAAGTGAAGTTGACTCTGGGCCAAAGGAAGAGAAGGAGGAAAAAAAAGTCTGGCTCCAGACTCAGCATCAACATGAAGCCTCCTCAAAGCACAGAGGAACCATTCATAGGCCCAAGGAAGCTGAAGGAAGGCAACACAAATGGAAATTGAGTTAAACTCAGAAATATGCACATCAGGGGGTGCGAAACAGAGAATTTAGTTTTTGTTTTTTTAAATTTCCACAGTTGTTCCCATAGTCATTTTTTAAAATTTGTCCTTCACCATGTTAAATGGTGCCTACAGTCTGGATTATGGAGTACCAGAACTGTTTTCTTAATTGAACTCCATTTTTATTTTGCTGTACTCTTTGAAGATGTTCTTCAACACTCTCTAAAATATTTCCATCTTGACCCGAAAACTACTCATAGGCATAAAAAGGGCCACTAATCTCAGAATTATGTTCAAGTGTGCACAAAAAGTTGTATCTTTCAATTCACTTCAAATCAGTAAATTTTAAGAAATTATTTCAAGAATATATTTTTGGAAACCTTATCTCCAGAACTTACCAGCAATAGGTATGCCCACCTCGAAAACTGCCTGTATCCATTACTTGCCCCCTAATAAAGCTAAATTTTCCTTCAAATACTTTATTTGGAAGGGGGAGGGTGTGGGACAATGTAAGTAGGGGTCTTTAAAATAATCTTTCCATGAATTTATGAGACTGCTAAGCTTCAAGAAAACCTATCTGATTTGTTTTATTTAAAATACTGCCTCCACCTCACCAGAGACAGGAAATGTCATATTCCAGGGAGAGTACCCGCCCCCACCCCCACTCACCTTGGAATTTCCGGGAGCTGAGCAGTTTAGTTCAGAGCGCTGGGGTTAAAACCAGCCCCATGTTAGATGCATGCAGTGAAGCATTGTGGCTACGGTCTCCCCTGCTTCACCAGGAAAAACAAAGATTTACATATGTGTTCTTCAGTTTGAGGGAGGGAAGAGGAAAATTTCCCTTTATACCTTCATGCAAAAGAAAGGCCCCAAAAGTAAATGAATTGGGGTTCCCTCTTTTTTACCTACCGGATCGCCCCAGTTCTTTCTTTCCCTCTGGGCTAACAGGAGGGGCCTCCCCTCCCAGGTCTGGGGCTTGGCGGGGCCGACAGCTCCCCCGCCCCCACCCAGCTGCCTGGGCGCTACTGCGCAGCTGTCCCAGTCCGTTGTCATGGCAACTGGCAGCCGTACTAGACTAAGGGAGAAAGGCGAATGGAAAAGTTAAAAGGCTTAACTTTCCTTTTCAGTGAAGACTGGGTGGCGAAGTTGGAAGGTACCTCCCCGGGCCTCAAAGCTAAGGCATTCAGAGCTCCAGGGGATGGGTTCTGGGTTTTAAATCCAAAATTTATTTTAAAAGCGCTGCAAATTAATCAACAGCACTTTAAGATCATCTAACAAGATTACAGCTCCCTGGAAGGGGGAGGGAAAGACTAGGTAGCTCCTTCTACAGCAAGCTCCGAAGAAACCACCCCCAACCTAGCCCACCAGAAGCATTTTGGGCAAGGCCTTTTCTACCATCTGTCTCTGTACAGTTAATTAAAATCGGTTGGGGGTAAACAACAAGAAATAGGGGGAGGGGAAGTTTTTTGTTGTTTTTGTTTTTGGTACCCGGGTTCAAACTCAGGACCGAGGGCTTGGGAGGCAGCACCAACTGAGATAAATCCCCCGGCCGGAGGGGAAATATTTTAAAGACACAAAATAACTTTTCTTACTTGGGAAGATTACCAGACACAGAACTAGAATCTACAGACTTGAAACACTGACAAAAAATAAGCAAAAAAACATAAAAACCTTTCAACCCAAATAATAGGTGGGGGAAAAAATCCGAAGTACAGTAAAGGAAGAAAGGGCAGGTCAGCCACCACCATGACTACTTAAATTACAACTACTCATTAGTTCCTCTTGTAATGTTATAAAACTGATCTTAGTAATTATTACCCATCTGATACTTTACTAATATAGAATTCATTGTATCAGTAATCCCTAATACTATACTCGAGGAAGGGAAGACTTGGAAAAAGAGACCAAGTTCTATAAATTTTTCTTTGACCTGGCTCTAACATACACTTTACAAAGCTCCAAGCACTGTGCTGGTAGGGCCACAGGCACACATGCTAAGCAAGTGTTTACCTCAGAGCCTCATTCCCAACCCCAACGGAATTAAAGAGTCAGAAGTTGCTGCCATAGGAGAATAGGAACGGGACAATCAAAAGCAAAGAATCCTACTTAAGAAAAGCAGAGAGTGCCCATTATTTTGGCTGTCATAAGAAACAATAGGTTAGGAGAGCAAAGAAAACATTTTTAATTACAGGGGATTTCCTCAAATCCGAAAAGACTATCAAGAAACCTGAGTAAAAACTGCCTTTTCTTACTTTTTTTTTTCTTCTTACCTTTTCTTAACCTTATGTAATTAAGGGATAGGAAGACAAAACCGAAGATACTGAAACAGAGCTGGGCTTGGTGGTGCACACCTGTACTCCTATCACTGGGGAGGCTGAAGCAGGAGGATTTCTGAAGATTTCAAGGGCAGCAGCCTGAGCTACATATGGACTTCAAAGACAGCCTGGGTCAAACAGTATGACCCTGTCTCCAAAAAAAAAAGTAAAAGGAAATTAAAAGTTTTGGTTCTGTGATTAATTTGCCATGTATGGTCTTGAGTAAATAAATTTTAGATCTAACCCCAGCATCATTAAAGCCGGCAAAATAAATCCCACTGCCTACCTCCTAGGGAAAGAGTGAGTTTATGAAGAAACCAAAGAGTTATTATGTCCCCCAAAGATAATCTTTTGTAGGACTACGTTAGGGCCAATATAACAGCAAAAGGAAATATGTGACATTCCAGATTCCTAAACTGGTAAACCATGTCCATGCAGTAGCTCCTGCAGCTTAACATGCTAGCAGATAGCAAGAAAAAGAAACAGTGACCTTTTTAAGGCTCTGAAAAACTAATAAACCTTCCAAAAAAAAAAAAAGTTTGTCTCAAAGGTAAAATACTATATTCATTCAGAAAAGCACTGGAGATGGCAGAATGAAAAACCAATGAGCCAGGTGTGGTGGCGCATGCCTTTAATCCCAGCATTCTGGAGGCTGAGACAGGAGGATCGCTGCAAGTTAAGACCACACTGGGTTACACAGTAAGTTCCAGGTCAGTCTCAACAACATAGTGAGACCCTGTCTCAAAAAAAAAACAAAAAACAACGATACCAAATGTGGTGACGCATGCCTATGATCCCATCACTCAGGAAGCTAAGAGCAAGAAGATGGCTGAGTTTGAGGCCAGCTACATAGTAAATTCAAGACCAGCCTAGACTGCATAGCAAGACTGTCTCAAAAAGCCAAAAAACCAAACAAAAAATACACAAAAAGAAAAAGAAAGAGTACTGCTAATTCTATGAAGGGAATAAACAACAGGGAAAAAATGACATCTAAGGTAACATTTTGACAAAATGTCTATCAAAAGAAAGAGGATTTGGACTGGGGACAGAGCTCAACCATAGAGCTATTATAATACTCAGCATGTGTGAAAGCAAGGCTCTGTATTTGTTTTCCCATACAGGGAGGAAAGGTGGAGGAAAAAACTCAATCAGGAAAGGAACAAGATATTCTAGTGTCCAATCTTCCTTCTAAAAATCAGAAAATAAAGGTTCAGATCACTCCATCCTTCTCACCCTTAAAAACTGTATAAAGGGGACATGGGCTGAGGTCCCTCTCTTTGGGAAATGGGTTTTGTAACAGCCGACAAATCAAATTGGGCCTGATGCCAGGAGTCAGAGTCCAACCATAATATTCTTTAAAGAATGGCACACAGTTGTCTTCTAAATCTCCCGACAGTCACAGATCACAAGCTGGCAAGGATGACGACATAGTTCTGATGGAATGTGTCTTATCTTAACCTTGAAGTTACAGATCTGCTCAGGAGCAGCAGTAAGAAATGAGAAATGCACCCAGACAGAGAAGGAGACATAATTCTTTTTTAGACAGTGCGACCCAACGTATTAGGGTCAAATGAAACACAAAGCCAGACGGACAATTTAAGGGCTAGAGCCTGGACCAGATAAAGCATCATGCTGGTGGCTCATGCTGAGCCCAGGAGGGAGTGTGCCCCTTTGAGAAATGAGACCCACAGGCAGGATGACGGAGTGATTAAGGTAGAATCCCGATACCATGACAGAGGAAGAAAAGAGTGCAACCTTATCCTTGTGGAAATCTTCATGGAAGGCAGTGAGCAGCTTCTCAAGTTTCTAGAATCTTTCAGAGCAAGACAGTTCTTAGTCCTTTCCTGAATACAGACGTAACTCTCTGGTAAAAGAATTAACCACCAGGCCCGGGGATTTAGCTCAATGGTTCTGCCACCTGCCTCAAAAGCGTAAGGCCCTAAATTCAATCCCCAGTACAAAAAAAAAAAAAAAAAAAAAAAAAAAAAAACACCATAGATAGATTTCAGCGACTAAAGCCATAAAGACACAAAAAAGAGAAGCCCCGATAACCAGTTCACAGTCAGGCATGGTGGCGCATACCTGTGATCCCAGCATTCAGACTGCCGGGAGTTCAGGAGTTTAAGGCCAGCCTGAACTACCTAGTCAGACCTTGTCTCAAAAAACAAAAACAAAACAAAACAAAAAGTCTATGAGCCAAGAAAAATTCCCTTCAGTCTTTTGAATGGGGGCGGGGGGAGCTACACCAGGGATTCAGACAAAAATCAGTCTTGGAAAAACATTAAAGAACTTTGTGGTGAGGCAGTTAGAACCCACATTCCAAACTGCTGACAGGGGACTCTAACAGATGACTATTCCCCAAAACAGGAAAGCACCGGTGAGGTGAACCAGAAGAGGGGTGAAAGAATTCTATATATTATGAAGGTAAAAGAAAACATCTAAAAATTGTCACTTTTCAGCAATTACAGAGGGGTTTACACAAAAGCTAGGGAGATCAAGAAAATATAAAATGCCTAGTGCTTGGCCTTACCTCCCCCGACATACACACCTCAAACTTGCCATCTTCCTTCCTCAGCCTCCTGAGTAGCCCAGATCACAGGGATGCACCACCACACCTAGTTAAAATTTTTATTGTTCAAAACAATGCAAACTGAGCCTGGCATGATGGTGCCAGCCTGCAATCCCAGCACTGGGTAAACTGAGGCAGGAGAGCTTGAGTTCAAGGCCAGTTTGGGCTACCTACAAGTTAAAGGCCAGACTGGACTATCAGTCCCTATCTGAAAAAGAAATGATGAAAACCAACTGATACATGCCTTCATTGAACTACTCCCAAGTTATGTAGAGGTGGCAGTCAGGCCAATCAATGAGCTGTCTCTTCATTTTAGAGTTCCAATATAAATTCTATACTCTAAGTGGGCAAAATCCTGCAGAAAGAAAGCCACGGCTAAAAAGCAGGGAAGAAAAAGGACACATGCAAAGCTCCCTGCACATGGATTGTTTAAAAACGCGGATGAGTGGCTTCAGTTGGTCCAGGCTTGAGAAATTCCCATTTCTCCTCTAAAGTCCTAGGGGAAAGACAGTGATTTAGGGGAAGATTAAGTTGCCAGCTACAGCACTATCTTCCAAACATCCTCTATTTTCAGCAAATAAAAGATGAAAATCAACCAAATCTACAGAACCATTTTAATCTGCTCTATGTTTTGTTCTTTATGGATACTGAAATACCATGGTCTTAGGTATGTAACACACAGCATAAAACTAAAATATCATCTATAAAGATGTTTTCTTGCACTGAATTTATGATTTCCAAAGTATTAGCCATGTGGCATTTTAACAAACATAGCACAGAGATACACATTACAGCTGTCCTGGCTGTCTCGGTTTTGTTAAATGGGCTGATAACTATTACTCCACCTACACCAAAAGCACATGAGCACCCAATTCAAGGTGAGTTAAAAGCTTTTTAAATGTCTATTGAAGAGACTGGATTAGGAAAGAGTTGAGAAGGAAGATTAACGGTGGTCATTAACACCCCTACCATTAATAAGCCACATACAGACAACACAAACTGTATTAATAGAGCAGAGT